GGAAAGAGAGAGGCTGAAACACATGTCCCAAAATAACAGTGAATTTTGTTTGTTTTTTCTTTTTTTTTTGTCTGTGGTTTTTCAGTGAGCCCTTCACGTCACAGCATCTCAGAGTGGAGGATGCAGAGCATAGCACGAGATTCAGATGACAGCTCAGACGAGGAGTTCTTTGATGCTCATGGTAACCATAGTTTTGATTTTAAAATAAAGGCTGAAATATATATTGTGTTTGGTTTTGCAAGAGCCTGCCTTCTCCCTTCTTCCCTCACTCTGCATGCATCTCTTTAACTACAGATCAGTTCTTAAGCTTCCCAGATACCCAGCATGCTTTGGGGCTGCAGCTGAAATAGGTGGGTGTGCTGCGGCACCCAAGTTCTCTGCAGGATGAGTTTGGCCGAGGACACAGGCCAGGTGTCTCATTCTGACATCAAGTTCAGAAATCACATCTCAGCCCCTCAGTCACGCCCTTACAACAACTTCAGTTCCTGCATCACTGTTTTGTTCACATAGTCCTTTATGATTCATGATACGTCCCCCCCCCACAAATAATTTGCCAATGTTTATGTGGCAAAATTGTTTCACGTTTAGTCACAATCATACAAGAATAAAATTGTCTGCTCATGACATTGAGTAAGTAGAATATAAATATTAGACTGAATTGTTGACATCCAATAATTGTGTTGCAGTATTAATGTTTGTATGGATAAATTACTGTTTGTGGGTATCTGAAGTGAAAGCACTTTACATGTTTTTCAGATTAATTGATTAAACGCAGAGCTGCAGCATCATAAATTGGTGTACATAACCTCCCGTCTCAGTGATAGTTAATACGGTGATTACTGTTGTGCTTCGCCAGCGTCCAATTCAGTTGCTATGATTTACTGATGTTCCTACACTGCAGAGGTAACCTCAGTAAATAAGCAGTTATTTGGTTATGTAAATAAATGATGTGTGTAGAGGTTAACCTGAGGTACAGTGTGTGTGAGAACATAAGGTGCCTGAATGAATCACATGATTGAGGTACACATTAAATATGGAAACAGGTGGACTGGGCTCAGATTGCCTTTGCTATTAGATTTCTGCCTTTAAAGTTTGTGGTATGGTCAGAGTTCAGGGATCGTCTATTAAAAATACTTGAGATGCATGTCAAAGTTTATTTTTAACTTTCATGTCCCCTTTTTCTGTGTGACGTAGACTATGTTTTTAATGCAGATGAATAAAGGAAAGCTTTAGGACACGTGTCAAACTCAAGGCCCGTGAAATCATTTTAGAAGATAGAAGGTAGAGGAGTTGAAGAGAAATCTGACATCACAGCAGACGTTTTCACCAAAGCGAAATCACGCAGTGAAGCTGCTATGAAAGCAAGTTTTATTGTGGCAGAGGAGAAAATCAGCCCGGCCATTTACCGAGGGAGAGTTTCTGAAGAGCTGTATGATGAAAGTGTGCGACGTCTTGTGTCCAGAGAAAAAGCAGGTGTTTGTAAATGTAAGGCTTAGCAAAACACGGTGGCTGATTTTTAAGTTCAAGTTTATTTATTTTGGAATAATATTGTATCCTGTCTGTTTCGATTCATATTTATGTTCAACAAACATTTAGTTTTAGTTTTAATGAATTTACTACAATTACAATTTTCTATAATCTGACTACAATATCACTTGCAAATGAAGTTGAAATAAATTATTTGTAGGCTTCATGACAAGAGAATTGGTTGAAACCTTTTGATGAGATAAAGACACTTTATTGGACATGTTTACAAATGAAATAAAGTAACTGAGAAAGTAACTTAAAAGCATTTAAAGAAAAGAAGTTACTTGATGTTGAACTACATACAGGACAGATCAGAAACTTGTACAATTAATGACTGAAGGCTTTTCTTTGGATGTAAATGGATCATATGCATGTTTCTCAGAAACAAAGATACCTGTAATATAACTGAAATGTCCCAGGCAAGAAATAATGGGATGAAAAGAGAGTTGTTTTTTTAAAGATCCTGAACCTCTTAAAATCACAGACTAATGTCATTAAACACAGTTTGTTGTATATTTACAGAAATTCAAAAGATGTACACTATTTGAAAACCTCTCCTCGGTAGGCAGTGGTTTAGTAAAAAGATTTTTCTTTTTTGAAAATGTTAATAAAGTTGCACCACCTTTTGTCCACTGTCATCTGGCACACGTGTACCTGCCGTTTGAGATTGCAAAATGATATATGCTTATGAGCCATAGATAAATACAAAGGTCATAATATTTCAAATATGAAAATACCTTGTGTAATTTGTGTGATGGCCACCATAGTGAGTGATGCTTTAAATCAGGTAGTTAAATATCTATTGACAATATTTTGTGAGAACACTTGACAAGGTTCCTTCATGTTTGTCAGATGTTTCATTCTGTAATTGAGTAAGCATACGTAACTTAAACAGTATGACACCCATTAATCATTATAAGGTTATAGTTAGTTATACTGTTGTTGTAAACCCTGCATGTTGTGTACAAATTAGATGATCCTGATTTATTTTTTGTGACCCCTGCAGAGGAATTCTCAGACAGCGAGGAGGTCCTCCCTAAGGAATTTGCCAAGTGGAACTCCACTGACCTCATGGACGAGATTGAAGCTGTAGACACAGAGGAAAGTCCTGGTATGATGAAGACCTCGAGCACCTCATAGACATCCTCACTGCTCTAATACTGGATGTTAAGAATTTGTGTGTGTTTTTAGTTGAGCTCTTCAAGGAGATGACTGTGGATTATGAAAGAGCAACCAGTGAAGAAAGACTAGATGAGGTATGTGCAAAACACCGAGTGTGTTATCTATGAAACACAATCCTAATCAGTCTCCTCTGATGCAGAGCCATGTCTGAGGTGAATATTCCTGAAGAGCCGTTTACAGAAAAAGCCTTATAGTATCCAAAGCTTTTATTAAACTTTTTCTCAATTCGGCTTTTACTCCTTGGAGGATAGGAGAAGGGCTGCTTGTTCCTGAGCCTCTCTGTCCTCTTGTGTTCAGATGCGTGGCTGTGTTAGCAGCCAAACTGATAGCTCTCCCATTCCCACCATAAAGGTAACAAGGCATCTGTCAGTAAGTAAGCCTTTTGGCCACAGTGCACTGTGGGCCACGATAGCTCCACAGAGACCTCCGACCCCCTGAACAAACCCAGTACTTGCTGCCCCTGACCTGTTCCCTGCCATTGCCCAAACCCAGATTTGTGTTTGCTCCTCAACCTCACAAGCCTCTGTTCAACTCCCAGATACTTGTAGCTGTTGCACCGAGTGTACATGCAGTGCTTCTGTGAAAATGTGAAGTTTTGGATCAGACAGATAAGACAAAACTACACATTCTGGAGTTCTCTTTGATGTGACTTGTCCTCAGGAAGCATTGTTGATGTTTGCTGTTAGTTGAACAGGTGTCCAGGTGGAGTATAAATTGGTGCTGCTGTTTCCCTTCACGGTTCTCTGTCCGTCTGTGGTTGGTCAAAGGAGTTTGTTCTGTGGTCCATGTTTGAAGAGACGGTCACAAAGCCGTAACTTACAAAATCAGATAACAGTCATTTGATTCCCAGTTGCTTATCTGTTTTTTTTTTTTTTATCCTCAGCCAGTAAGCATGCTTTCTTTGGCCATGCTAAACAGTAAATATACTATTTATTGAACATTCTGTGAGAGCTGTTCCTCATTGTTCCCATTCATCACCCTTTGTTTAATTTACTGTTCTCAGGAGAGTTCATCCCAGCAATGTCTGCAGTCTTCCAAGATCCATGTGCTGATCTTGGTTCTTCACGGAGGAAACATCCTGGACACAGGCGGAGGGGACCAGAGCAGCAAGCAGGCTGACGTCAACACAATTAGTTTGTCTTTTGACACAGTCATGCGCGTTCACTACCCTGCTGCGTTGGGACACATCGCTATCCGCTTGGTACCATGCCCTGCCATCTGTGCTGACGCCTTCTCCCTGGTTTCTAAGTAAGAGGACACAAATGCACAGGTTTTTTTGAAGGCTGCAAGTATTGTGGAGAATGATTTAAGGTTTGTGTTTGTTGGCTGTGACTGCTGTTTGCTTATGATGGAAAAGGTCCAGGTGTTGCTCGTGATCATTGTCCCCTCTTCCTGTGTTTGTTGCTTTAAACTTCTCTGTTGTTGTCTTGGACTTTAAAATATGTTCGGAATTCAATTTTGTTTAATTTTGTTTTTTGTGGCAGCCTGAGCCCTTATAGCTATGACAAGGGTTGTTTATCCAGCAGCCAAGACCACATTCCACTGGCAGCTCTGCCCCTCCTGGCCACCTCTGCTCCACAGTACCAGGAGGCTGTGGCCACCGTCATTGTCAGAGCCAATCAGGTGTATGCAGAGTTCATAAAATCTCTGGATGGAGAAGCCTTCTCCGGCCAGGTCAGCTGCTGTCCTGTGACCTCATCACTACTGTTGAATTCATTATTAACATCAGGTTTTTGATTACAAACTATGTTAGACTCCTGATGGAGGACATTACAAGTGCTATGGATAAGAAGAAATACACGATGGGGATATTTATTGACCTAAAAAAAGCATTTGACACAATCAATCATGAATTATTAATGGACAAGTTAGAAAAATATGGGATCAGAGGAATGGTTCTGAAATGGATTAGAAGTTATTTGACACAGAGGCGTCAGTTTGTGAAGTTGGGTGAATACCAATCGAGTGAGTTTGATATTGTATGTGGAGTGCCTCAGGGTTCTGTTTTGGGACCTAAATTATTGATATTATACATTAATGATATATGTGAGGTTTCTGATTTAGTGAAAGTGGTTTTGTTTGCTGATGACACTACCATATGGGCAT